AAGTCTCTCTTTCTCGCTCCGCCCTTCCGTACTACGTCATGTAATGTACACTATAGTGAACCGAAGTCTCTCTTTCTCGCTCCGCCCTTCCGTACTACGTCATGTAATGTACACTATAGTGAACCGATATAGTGAACCGATACTATATGACAAAATTGACAATGAGAGACTTGGAGCAAGTCTAGGGTACTGCCATGTTAAGGTACGGGTAAGTATCAAGATTGTGTTCGTATCTCACCCGATTGCATTTTCGCAGTTCCTAGTGGTTAGATCTAAAAATGAATAATTTTCACTCCAAATTTCCATCTCCAAAAAAAACCCTTCAAAAAATGCACGAGTCAGCCTACTGCTGATAGGACTGTATGCAAACTGTCAAAAATGTATTAAACAAACACGTACCAGTTTTTCACTTTCTGCTTTCGCTTCAGAAAAAGTATTTTCCTGTTGTTGCTTGGGATCCTCTAGAGGTTCGCCATCTTTTTGTTTCTTCCATGTCGTAGGATTCAGATACCATGCACCATATTTCACTTTCACCCAACTTGGGGTATATGTAGTACGTTTCTGGTATATAAGAGAACCAATTCATTTAATAGATCAGTACGAACACTTTTGATCAAGTAGCCTTCTCAAGTCTCATTATTTCTTGTTTATTTACAATCTATACTATTATTTTCGATTTTTCTTTGTGTTTTTTGACTCTGTGTGTCGTGTCTTTGTTTGTCATTTTGTGCTCGATATTAATTTCTGTCTGCTGAAACATATTTCTTTCAAAATCATTGTTATACGTCATCTGACTAGCCTAACAACCCCATATGGTTATTTCAGATGGCTATACACTCTTCTATTTCTGCAATCATTTGAAATTTTAGATATTATTGAGTATTTTTTTAGTGTAATAAATATTGTATTGTATTGTAGAATGTAGTGCCGGATGTCTATATTTTATCGAATACCGGTATCCAGATCATCCCTAATCCCCATGGACCCTTCCTACCTCCTAACAACATTACAATATACAACCTTGTATGAAACTCAAAACGATAATGGATATCGATATGCGTAACAAAAGGAAAGTGGAAATTAAGAAGATTGCATGCTTTTATAAAAATCCTTGCTCTGTATAAACCACAAGATTTTGAAAATTGGTAAAATGAAAACAATGAAGGTTTGTATTTCTGATTAACTTCATCGAATAAAGAAGGTTTTATATTTGAATTAAAATCTTTATAAAAATAGGTCGGTCGCCCGAACAGGCTTTGTAATTGGCTGATTATGACAATAAAAGACTATTGTCTTTAATACAAAAATCATCTTTATCAAAATTTCTAAAGAACGAGCCATAAGCACTTCAGGATCTTTTTCGTCTCAGAAAAGGTATTCATATTAGGTAGGCATACTTGCCCAAATAATTGGATGGTGACATTTATAACGTTAGCAAAACTCATTACCCGTTTTTCTGCTTCGTTCATATCAACAACATTCTGCTGAAGAGGTGAAGCTGATGTACTGGCATTCACCCGTAGCTCAGGTGGAACATTCGTCAACTCCACAACATGGATTGGAACAGATAATGTAGGCTGAAAAGAATATTAAAAGGGCGATAATTATTTAATGCTGATCACAAGACTACATGGCGCAACTATATACATGGATCAGGAATCCCGCAAATCGTGTGATTTTACCGCACTATCCCGCGGGGTTTTGCTATTCCAAACGAGAATTGGGTAATTAAAATGCAGCACTTATGCATGTTTTACCTTTGTTTCATATCCACTGGCAAATAAGCTCATGACAGTCGATTCTTCGATGTTATTACTGTCGCCTCCCTAAAATATTTAGATTAAACGTTTCTTATTCGGGAAAGTCGTTATACCTTTTCTATAGACTTACTCCAAGTCCGTATTTCTGTAATCCACTACAGTGCGAATAACATGACGTACATCCGGCAAGTCTATGCCATTCATGTGGAATTTTTAGGACACACCATTATATACCACAAAGACACGGCAGAGTAATCATAAAAACGTACCAAACTTTCAACCCAAGTACAGAATTCGTTCGTAACGTTCTGTATTTTGTCATCCTACAATAGATTTACAATCGGTTAGGGACCTACATAGCTATTTTGCGAGTGTTTATGCAGGAGTGAGTTTGGTTTTCATTTATCTATACTATATAATCTTATGTATGTCATTAGAAGCTTGGAATGCTACTGAATTTCCTGTATCCTGATTGATTGTTCTTTTTAGTCACTGCGTGGTACTTTATTTAAGAAATAGAAAACGAGTCGCGTGCGATAATGCACGCGGGGGCGGGAGGGGGGGAGAATACGAGAGAAGTGTGTAAAACACGAGGCGTAGCTGTATTTTTATGGTATTCCTGTATCTTTTTCAAGTTTTTTTCTCGGCTATTTTGCACGCTTTTGCCCAAAACATGTCGAGACAAAAACAAATTCGACGAATGCCAAGCCGGTTAATTTTAATACTACAGATAAAATTGCTTTGTTAATTCCTTTGATCTCTTCCTTCTTCCTTCCTGATAAATTTTGTATTTAAAAAAAAGCTATAGTTTTGTTTATGTTTTGGCTAAAAAGCAGAGATGAAGCGGGGGGGGACACAGAAAGAGCAAGCCAACCAGCCAAGTGCCAGATCACAGTGCATTATTGCCAAATTCAGCAAATTGTCTGTTGTATCCCACTTATATTATAAAGTGAATGATGTGAAAATGTCACACTATACTTTCATACCAAACTTGGAGTATCGACTTTCTTTCTGTTTGACTTCCCTTTATCTTCTTTCTGTGTTTCATCCACTTTCGGCAGCCATCTGTACCGGTTTTTCAGAATATCTTGAACACTGGGAAACAAAAAACATTGAATTTTGCTAAATATAGGGAGTTCTAACTCGCTTTTGAAACAACTTTAATTTACAAATACGACAAAAGTTTTATTTGTAAACATGTTTCAGCATTATCTTTTATAGTATACGATTTCTAGCACGATCATTCGCAACTTGCTTTTGCTAATTATTGCTTTCGAATTAAATTACTTAAAGTGGTACTGACCACAGAATAAAGACTATACTTATTCTGTGGTACACTGACATTATTTCTGATAGTATATAAACGTACATAATTACATGCATGTACTTTCTTCGGATCGGGTTATGGAGCTATAAGAACTATTTGTCTCAGTAGTGTTTAGAGAACGTTTACGTGTATTATATGTTGTCACGTGCACAGTAGTGTAAAATTAGTTGTATATAATTAAAGTACGCGGGGTTTGCCAGAGGGGGTTTGCCTTGTTGCGACTTCGAGTCCGTTTTTGCTGACTTCGATCTAGTATATAACTCGCTTTTGCTGTTTGCCAGGTAATGTCTACTATTTTTGTTTTAACGTAGTTTAGTTTTGTAAAAATTTTACTTGTTGAGTTGATTAAAGCTTCTTATTACTTTCTGAGTTGCGTGAGACCAAAGTGTACCAATTTTTGATAGAATTTGCAATATAATTTTTCATAAACATGGCTGTTATAAACGTGAAATAGAAACACAATAAACATGGTTTACGTTTCACTCCGCTAATATTTCCATTTCATGCAATCCTCTGTTGCTTTGTGGTCGTGATACTGTAGGTCATACGCACAATTCTTTTGTGATTAACATACCATTTTTGTCAGATACGTTTGCAGCGAAAGTGCAGGTCTTATGTATGACATTCATAGGAACGTTTTGCATGCACGTATGATTGCATAACGTTTGTGTTAAATTTTACAATTAATGTCGCCTTACAGTATACCTTGGGTGTCAGACGTTTTCATGTTATTTTGCCTCTGGAATATAGAGTGGTCGTATCATATTTATACCAACCTTTTCCTGTCCGTATCTGTTGGCGAAAGAGACTAAAACAAGAAATAAATTACTAAAGTCTGATCGAGCTCTAATCCATGATTAATTGACATGCGGCAACTCGGGCAACTAACTCCTATACCTGAACACGACGGGTAGACGCTTTCGTCTGACTTTCATCTAGTTCATCACATGAAAATTGATGTTCCTGCAATATAAACAGAGAAGAGAGTCTTGCAGAATTCTATGTTCATCGCTATAATCTTTGATTATATATAGCATTATTAGTCTTATCTGATTATTCTGCCTGTTTATCGAAAAGCTTGAATGGTATGGTAAAAAAGAGCCAACGATAGCTTACCAAAGTCACCGTGTTTTATCTCTATTACTAGACTCTATTAGATCATGGGTTAGTATTTCGCACTCCAAGACTCCACCCATATTTAAGAGTCTGTCAACTGTCTGCTGCTGAAAGTCACCAGGTTTCACCAGGCCACAGAATACTATACAGAAGTCCATCTCCATTGTTTTTTGCATAAGCGCTATTCGTCATGATTCGTCACTCAGCAAGTACCGTAAACAAAAGCAGTTTTGCTTACGCTTTTTGCGCTTACGCAAAAAACAATGGAGATGGACTTCTGTATACTATTCTCATCTGTGGTCAGGTGCTCTGGTTTTCTTCCACAGGGAAAGTTGTCAGGGTAGTTTACGATAGATAGACAGAGTAAATTAGGTAAATAAAAGCCCCAGACAAGCACCGAAGGGGAATGAGGCAGATGATGTGCTACGTAATTCATGCAAGTACCGTACTCCAGAAACATGAAACAAAGTAATTTGATCTGACTACAGTAGGAACAGTAAAGATAAGTACATAACTGAACGGTATAATTATATTTATTTATCAAGGCAAAATTTCAGTGTAAGATGTTAGAGACCTAGAAGCGTATGTACTGCACTCATGTACCATATTAACGCGACATATGCTCGAATGCGTCCCTATTCATTAGGGTACTCTGTCTAATGTCTAACGACAGACAATTTTACTTGTCAAAAACTGATCATTTTTTATACTAATGTGTAAAACATTTAGAAAACTAACCATATCTGTTCCCTCCTCACTGCCAAGTTGTAAATCTGGATCTAAGATATCAACCACATCTTCAAACACCTGCACACAAAAAAAGTGGACATTTTATATATCTATGCAGTAGCAAGATGGCAATGAGGTGGTGCTACTGTAGACCCCATGCATAGTTGGTGAATTGGACGTGCAAAATTTAAAACACCAAAGTAAAATGTAGTGAAAAAATAAATAGATAACCAATCCAAAATGTCGTGGCAGAGAGCACCATTTGCGGTCAGATACTTGCAACCTACATCCTGCAAGCCGGCTAAGTATTTCTAGATCAGTGCTGCAAGCCCGCAAATATTTGTAACCAATCCAAAACATATAGGATGAAAGACTATATTCCGCTCAGTGAGGAACATCTTAATATACATTAATTTTTTAAACCTTATAGCGCGTGCAATGGCTTGTGAATTTAACCATAGGTAGCCCAACAATCAGTGTTATTAATTCATTTCTGTTCAATAAAATCATACTACTACTTAGTCCCCGACTGCAATGTTTACGCGCGGTCAGATCATGTACGTATCCCTATAGTAATATATGCACCAGCTTCTGCCTCGTCCCTCGTCGCTTCAGTTGGGAATAGAGATCAGTGGAAAACAATAGGAGCGCGGTGCTTAATGGGAATGCGATAGAATCTAAAATCAGCGCTGCTAAAATTACGCGACCGCGCGTACGATTGAGGGACTGTGGAAGAGTCAGCACCAGCTTTGCATTGACATATAATTTCGATGAACAATTGATGACCTAATATGTAAAGGCCGTTTTCCACTCCAACCGTATCGTAACGTAGCATTTTCTTTTGTGTCGAAATCATTAGTTCCACTCTATAGAGTATATTCAGTTAGTGCTCATGAAGGGAACAAAGAAATACGCTGCGCTTCGACACTATACGATTGAAGTGGAAAACGGCCCAATAATGAATGGGGCAGCAGTTCTGTATTAGTGTATTACCCGGGACGATTCATATTGTAAACATCAATAAAGGAGAAGCTAAAGCCAAATCCGTTAGGATTTATAGTAACTATATACACACCTCAGGTGGAACAGATTCTTCAAGATGTGGAAATAATGCCAACTGATGTTGAAGAAGACTCATTTCGATATCATCCACGTTATCACGTCTTTGCTGTTGCATTGGTAGTGTTCTAGAATCATTTTAGCAAAATCGTAAATACAACTGGATTTTTTGATACCTTTCATTTTTCATATTTTCTTAGTCGAAGTGAGGAAATTAATTTGACAAAACTTACTTGGAATATACGACTTCATCCTTCGTAAATCTCTTTTTATCCATTGTGTTATCTTGTACTTGTTCAGCACTCGAGTTGTTGATATTTGGGGAAATTCCTGTGTACCCCTACATAGTTGTAATTAATCCATTAAAGTGGCGAAACTTAGGTAGATTACGTAGATACTGCAGAATTTTTAATAATCTCAACTACAAGATTATGATCTCAAGTGCAGTCAATCTGTCCCTAAAGGCCGGTTTATACTTGAAATTTTTGCTGCGATTTCTAGTGCGACTTTCTCCTTCTGATGCATGCGAACGAGTGGATGAACTATTAATGTTCTGAGTATATATTCCCCATAGATATAGGAGGTATACCCTCACCTGAACATTCATAACTCATCCACTCGTTCACATTCATCAGAAGAGGAAAATCGCACTAGAAATCGCAGGAAAAATTGCAAGTGTAAACGGGCCTTAAAAGTTAAAAAAAAATGCAATGGAATCTTTTCACTGGCTGTTGACGTTATTGAATTCCTAGTTCCCAAAGTATCCTTTCGGACGATCACATTACTAAAATTTAATGTGGTTAAACGTAGATTTAAGCGAAGTTAACGGCAGATGTATCTAGCAGCGGGGAGCCCCTGACGTCACTTAGAACAGTTGCAATTCTCGCGCATCCGTCACTTTGCTACAGCTTGGCTAGCCAGCTACAACTGCTCTTTCGCTCTGTTATAAATCTTTGCTATTGCGTGTTATTATTACTTGTTACTTTACTCAACATGCCTCGGCTAACTAGAAATAGTATGGAAACGTCAACGAGCAACAATATTGCTAGCACTAGCTCCGCTCCTCCGCCGTCGAG